AAGTAAGTAAGTAATCAACTAAGTGTCATAAACCTGAATGTATTCCATAATGAAAGACGTAAACGAATCTAATTTTTCTTTGCAGGTCAACATTCCTCTTGTTATTACATTACAAATAAAAAAGATTAATTGTTTTAAATGTCAACTAAGCTTCAATGACATACAACTAACTGTTAAAAGGTTGATTAGATGAACAATAGTTGTTGTAATAATAAGAGACAATAACAAGCTACATCAAACTGTACATTGTCAAGGTTAACAATTCACACAAAATAATAAATGACATGATTAGATAGGAAACAATTAGTCCGTTCTAAGAAGATAAAGATTCATGAAAAGAATGGACATGATCTAAAAATATCAAAGTTTTGATGTATTCGTGCAGCATACATATTGCCTTGTCAAGAGATTTTAATGCAACTAGCAAACAACCAAACTAGAAAGGGTCAACTATAAGACAAATTACATAAGGGAAAAGTGGTAAATGAAGATAAAGAGAGAAGAAAGAGAGAGATGGAGAGAGAGGGAGAGACAGATGTAAAATGGTATTAGAAAGTATGGTACATGATAAGACTATTGTTGATAGTCAATATAACAAGGTATAATATTGTGAAGTGATATATCTCGATGAGAATAATGAATAGTAACTGTTCGGATCAAGTTATGAGTGTCCATTTTCAATAACTAAACTATGCATATTCATATTCCTCTTATTTTAAGCTTCATTTTAATCTATAGACTATCATTATACGATTTAATATGATTGAGTGATGCCCAGTCTGTGAATTACAGTCTCTCCCAATCACAGTCACATTTGGTTGAAACTTGTACAAATGTTATTTCCTATTTTATGGTACAAAGTGGTCTGTTTGGTTTGTATATAAACCCAGTATGCTTGAAATACATGATGTTGATTTATTTGTCTCTTCCCATTGTTATTTAGGATTGCAATTGATCAATCTCTTGTTGGCATTTATGAATCCTTTATGGAATGCCTCGATATTGTCTTAACATCTAGTTGAAAAACTGATGAAATATATATATTAGAATGAATTCAACACTATTCAGTCGAACTGGACAATAATGTGCTTATTAACCGATTTTATTAGATTATAATAGATTTAATAGGAAATTGTAGATTGATACTAGTGGCAAGTTACAAAATTCTAATAAAACATCTAATTGACGAGTCCCAAACAGGACGAAATGCGCGTCCTGGATTCCCCCACTGCTATTCACAATCCATCGTTGTTTATAATGCTTGTAAATCAAAACAATATCGAGGCAATACGCACAATATATACATATGCTAATACGAGACTGATCAATTGCAGTCCTAGACATTATTGGGGAGATTCAAGTAAATAATACCAAGTGAGTTTAAACTTCATCCCATTGCACAAGCAAGTGGCTATCAGGACTCAGTAGCTAAGAAGAAAACGTTATAGCGTTTGAAGTGAATTGTACTGGGTTCGAGTCCTCAGGTGAACATTAACTCTAAGATTCAACTGCATCCAGCTGACGAGTCCCAAAGAGGGCGAAACGCGCGTCCTGGATTCCCCACTGCTATCCACAATCCATCGTTGTTTATAATGCTTGTAAATAAAAACAATATCGAGGCAATACGCACAGTATGCACAAATACTAATCAGAGACTGATCAGTTACAGTCCTAAAACATCAATGGAAAGATTCAAGCCAAACAATACCAAGTGAATTTATCTTTCAAAAGATATTGGGATATTGATGAATAGGATTATGTTTATTTAGACAATCAACTGTTTGCTGTTTTAACTTTAACTTAGAATTAGGAAAAAAATTGAGGAATTTTCTCTCTCATTAAGGACTGATATTGATTGAAAAATCATTAAAAACTAGATCAACGTAGATAGCTAGTTTTCTGTTATTTGAAATGGTTCGACAGTGTTACTCATATGACATTATACATACAATAAAGTCTTACGATCAGTTCGAAATTCGATGGTTTGTGCTTCTGATTTAAGTTAACTTGTGATTTCGCTCAACCATTATCAAAAGCATAGTTACTTACGTACATTATATGTGATTATGTGTAAGTTCTACAAAAAGAAACTATTCCGTCTGAATTCATTTTGTATGAGTTGTTTGATCTACTCATTGTTGTTTATGACTACAATCGATCAGTCTCTTATTGGCATATATGCACCCGGTGAGGATTGCCTTGATATTTCCATTTTATGTAGAGATAGATGGTGGTTAGTAGTAAAATCCAGGACAAGCGTTTTGTCCTGTTTAGGACTCGTCAGCTGGATACACATTCACCTCAGTACCGTTCACTTCAAACGTCATCACGTTATCCACTTAGCTATTGATTCAGATATGCACTGGCTTGATCAATAAGGTGAAGTCTTTATTCATTTAGCTACAATACAAAAATGAATTAAAAATTCATCCCACTGCACAAGCTAGTGGTTACTTACTTACGCCTGTTACCCCCAATGGAGCATAGGCCGCCGTTGACCATTCTCCAACTAAGTCTGTCCTAGGCTTTCTTTTCTAGTTCTATACAACTGTTGTTCATTCTTCTTATGTCTATCTGTCTCCGTTTCTCGGCGTAATTTGTTCTCTGGTCTTCCACTTCTCCTTTGGCCTTAAGGATTCCAAGTGAAGGCTTGTCTTGTGATACAGTTGGGTGATTTCCTTAATGTGTGTCCTATCCACTTCCAACTATTCTTCCTGATTTCTTCCTCCACTGGGATCTCGTTTGTTTTCTCCCATAGTAGGTTGTTGCTGATAGTTGCTGATGGCCAACGGATCCGAAGTATTTTGCGTAAACAGCTAATGATAAACACTTGTTTCTTCTGGATGATGGCTTTCTTAGTTCTCCAATTTTTCGCCCCATACAATAGAACTGTTTTGACACTTGTATTGAAAATTCTGACCTTGGTGTTGGTTGGCAGTTGTTTTGAGTTCCGGCTGTTCTTCATTTGTAAATATACTTCTCTTGCTTTGCCGATTCGCGCCTTCACATCTACATCAGATCCACAAGCTAACGGTTACCTGGAGCTAATAGCTAAACGGATAACGCGATAGAATTCCAAACAAACGGGACTAGATTTGAGTTCCAAAGTGAACATCAACTCTGAGATACAGATACGTCCATCTGACAAATCTCAAATAGGATGAAACGCTCGTTCTGGATTCCACTATTAGCCATATTTTGCTGATATTTTATTTGTATTTTTATCGTGTATTATCATATTATGAATTAGAAAATAGTAGTCCTAATGTCACAACTATACTCTGTTCAAAACGATTTCATCTTACCTTTGTTATAGCACCTCAACTGATTGGATTAATCACAGTATAGTGAACAAAAACAACAACAAGAATAATAATACAGTCAATGAAAATAATCAAAGTAATACGAAATAATCATCCATTAAAGCATTATTTATCAACAACTGGAAAAAGCTGGGAAAGAATTGCCCATGTCAGGGTTGGATAGAGTGCTGGTGGTCGGACTATGTCCCTCCACGAGGAGTAACAGGAGTAAGTAAATCAGTAAGTAAGTAAATATCAATGTACTTATAGTATGTAATCTATCTCTAGACAAACAACGTGCTACTAACACTCAACTAAGGTAAAAACTAATTGTTTCTTTTCCCTTGAATAAACTATTCGTATATAAATAAATACACTAATGACACTCATATTAGTAAAATGATAAAAATGTGGAAGAAAAAGAAAAAGGAAAGTGAACAGTACCACAATCAGTCGGTCAATTACAAGGTAGGACCAGCCACATATATGCCACGATCCAAGTTGCCATACGTCATCAAGACAACAAGATAAACACTGAATTCATACAAGTAGTTAATTCAGTGGTGGCATATAAGGATATAGTACAGAAAAAAAGAATTAGTTCGTAGAAACAAAGATATGAAGCTATTTTAGTCTCATAGTTTAAGAGAAGACAGAGAGTTTATACACAGATACCAATGTGATCGATCCTGAGCCATGTCACCCAGAGTCTCCAACCGTTATTGCTATCTTGATGTAGTGGTCGGGCTGGCCTATCGTGATGAACTATTCGAGCTATACTAGCTGAAACAGTCGTTCCTCAAGGTACTACATGTCAGGTCGGTTGAAGAGCAGTAAGACTAAAAGCAACAAACCCAAGGTCCGAACGTAAAGTCGTACTGCTGAATGTACAGAGATGTGACGGCTCTTTCCTTCAGACAACCAGTATAACAGCGATGCTGACTTCCCATAAGGAAAGGTGGGTTTAGAAAAGGTCGACCCTAAAAATACATACTTAGCCTTATCCCACGGATATCCGTCTCCGGCGGTATGGTTTCAACAAGTACGTAGCTAACACGAAAATTACTCAAGAAAAAGCCGTGTGCAACCGACCTCAAGCAGATATCTCTTGAACAATACGGTCACGCTCTCAGATCACTAAGATCACATCCAATACAATTTACTTTTCAAGTACCTGAAGAAGAACCCTTCCACATTGTGAGCAACGGGAAAGTGATAACCACGCTCATACTTCCAACGGCACTAAAGACCACTATATTCATAATCAACCTCCCTCTTCAATCCTCATTATTCCTCGTACAATAACACAATAAACAACCAAAACAGAGAAAGAAAAAAGGGAAAAAGAAGAAAAAGCGATTGAAACTAAGACAATTTACTTATATTGATGACTAGAATCTATATATCAAAAAGAAATAATTACAAACAAACAGACAGATAAACAAATAGAGAACAAATATACTCTACTGTCAATATCACATATACAACTATACAAACACAAATGTACAAATACAGATACAGATATAGATATAGATATATGGAGTTGTGAACTACTCAGCAAAAAAGATGAAGCTTCCTTCCAACTAATTATATCAACTACAGTATACTAATTGTGAAGCAAAATATATAGAATATTTTTTTATTGGGTTTCTATCTTAGAAACAATAATGATTGATTTGTTTTGTTTTGTCTAATAACCTACCTGACTAATGAAGTATTTGTTGAATGATGTATAATACAATTGAAGGAACTGAAGAAATTGATAAAATGAAAATAGTCAATTGATTTCTATGACACAAATATTCTCTATCTTAAAACATATATATATATATATATATATATATATATATATATATATATATATCATAGTTGAATTCATCAGTCGATTAAAGCTAGATCATCATTGAAAACGTAGAAGCACTGGACAATCATTTCGTCTTGGGATGATACTTCTTAACAGTTACAATTGATTGATCATTAGGTGGTGGTAATCAATGTCATGTGTGTCAAGTCCTTCTTAGTGCAAATTGAATGCTATCAATGTGGCCACTAGCCTTGACTAAAGTGGACACTGCGTACACTATGTTGAGATAAGATGGTGGTTGGAGGTAGTCAACAGGAAACCCGGGACCCGAGTTTCGTGCTACTTGGCAATGGGTACCTGTAATCTTAAGCGAAATGATACCTACTGACTGGTTTGATCCTGTTTCATCCAGCTTCACAGTCAGAGAGGTTAGCACTGAGCTATCCGGGACGTGACCGATCTTCTGTAGGACTGAGATGTAGTCACACTTGATTGATCTCTGGGTGGTGATCAATGTCATGTGTGTCAAGTCCTTATTTGGTGCAGATCGAATGCTATCAGCTGTGAAGCTAGATGACACGGGATCGAGTCCGTCAGGGAGTACCAATTCCCTCAAGATTACAGGTACACCATGCTGACGAGTGCCAAGTAGCACGAAACTCGGGTCCAGGGTTTCCTGTTGACTACCTCTAACCACCATCTTCTCAGCAGTGCATGTCCATCATCTCGTTCACGGGATTCAAACCAAGGACCTATCGGTTTCGACTTATGAATTCAACTATTAAATTATTACAATGAAATTTTGTGCTTTTTTCATGTTTTAAAAGAAAAAATTATGTTTATTTTGTTCTTTACCTACCGTGGAATTTTCGCTGGAAGTAACCACATTGTTGGTGATGTATCTGTTAAATGAATTGGTGTTGTTGTTACATCATTTGGTTGTATATTAGGGATTTTTTGATTGGGATTAAAATTTAATAAATTAGGAGGTGAATGAATTTGTCCTAAAGTCTAAAATGATCAAAAACATAAAACAGGTAAATATATAAATATATACCTATTATATATATAAGTAAAGACAATACAATAGTTTAATAATCGAATATATATATATCATCAGTTTAGGGGTTGTGGAGATTGTTAAGTTTTTGATTGAGATCATGAACCGATTGATGTTGGACCACCATTAAAAACCTGGAAGCACTGGACGGCCGTTTCGTCCTATTGTGGGACGTTCGCGCGCGAGACTGAAGGCCTGGGGTTCGAATCCCACGAGCGGGATCGTGGGTGCGCACTGCCTAGGAGTCACACAATAGGACGAAACGGCCGTCCATTGCTTCCATATTTTCAATGGTGATCTAACATCAATCGGTTCATGATCTCAATCAGAATTATCTATATCATATTACTGGAGAGATAGTCTGTCAGAAAGAAAGTCGGACAGATTATCAGGTGAGACTATAATTTATGGGCGACATTTGAGCGACGCTAAGTCACCTTGGGACTGTCTAACTACATACTAGGGTTAAATGAGGGTTATAAAACAGTTTCAAGAATATTGATTATAATATATCGTTGATGGTTAAGGTTAGGAATTAGATTTACGGTTTTCATCATGAACTGACATCAGCTATAATGCCAGGATTGTATTTAACCAAATGGTTGAATGAATTTTGCGCCAAAATCTAAGACCTGTCATTGTAAATCTGATTGATTCGTCCATAAATTATAATCTCCCTGATTACCATTTATAGACGAAGCAATCAGATATAAAATAATGAATCTTGAGTTTTCGGCTAAATAGCGTTTGAGCATCATAGTTGGTGTCAGTTCGTGATGAAATCCATAAATCTAATTCCTAGCCTTAACTATCAACTGTAACTCATAATTCGTATTATATACACTATCTTATAATCCTCATTTATCCTGGTTGTCAGGTGGACACTCTCAAGGTCACTTTAGCATCACTCAAAGGTCATCCATAAATGATAGTCTTATTAGAAAGTTTATAATAGTAGGTAACTAAATGAAACTAATAGAAACTAGTTATTGTATATTAATGAAATTAGACTTTATTCTTATGGTTATTTGGATTCTCATTTCTCTGTTCTTTATTGTTAAATACTTGAATATTGTTCATTTATTTAAATATAAGAAGATAGTTATTTACAAAACTTCAAGAACATAACGTCATTATAAACGTGAAGAAGTACAAATTTGGAAAGGAATCATTGAAGTTCTTAGATCATATGATACTCGTTTATTCGACTCGAACGGTTACTCACTTGCCCGCTTGGTTTTTGGCATTACTCTTTCATGCTTGCTTAGGGTATCGGTAATTATGGTTATCTGTACGCGATGCAATAATAAACTTAATCAACACTTCGTATTCACCTTCTGATCAATATGCCATTGAGGCGGTATCTAATGACGGTTATCAATACAAACTGTATACAAAGTTTAAGAATTATATTAAATACCGACCATTACAAGATAACAAAGACTAATTGAAACATTCAGTGCGATATCTTCATTGAATATGACAATGTATGATTAACTTCAGATTGTAAACATTTAATACTGAAAGGATACATCTAAATAGTTTAGTATTTAATATGTGGAAAGATGACTGATAATCAAAGCATTAGATTTTATTAACATCCGTCTTCATGTAAAACTGAAAAGTAAGGAGATATAAAGTAATAGTATTTTCATTGGAAGTTAATTTCTATCATGGACAGACCATATGAGAATTATTGAAAACTTGGAATGTAAACTTATGATCATACATGAATTCAAAGTAGGATCATCCTATCTAGTAGCATTCATGATACTATTGACTTATATAGTTGGAATTAACTAAGGTAAGAGTATAGTATAGGGACAAATTTGTCAGCTTGTTAGAAAACAATAATATCTAAATTAATCCTTTTAAATATAGATGCCTTCCGGCTCATTGGTTCAGAGGTTAAGTATTCGAGTGCAAGACCAAACATCTTGGGTTCGAATCCCGCAAGCAGAATCTCGGAAGAGTACCGCTGAGGATTCCTACAATAGAACGAAACGGCCATCCTGTACTTCAATTTTAAACTTTACTTCAATTTTATTGGTGTATGCGCTGCTCATTTTCAAAGCAATCTTAATAATCTCATTACAGTTTCTGATATACCTTTTATATATTCGTTATCAAAATCTTTTAAGGAATAAGCTAAAGTTTAATGGGAAATAGAAGAAAAAACACATACTGAACTCCATTCAGTGTTTACTTTTAATTTGTATAAAAAACAAAATAAAAACTAATTAAATCCTTCTGAATCCCCTCTAGGGCTACTGCCGGTCCCAAGACCGGATAAAGAAGAAGGGTTGAGTATGGGGTTAGTGATCACATACCATAGAAAATGAACTCTCTAAGAAAAGAAAAACACTAACCTTTTGGTTTAATGCTATCAGTGAATATGGTGTATTATTTGACCAATTCTGTAGTTGAATCTGTTGTTTTAATGCTTCAACATCTAATTGAATAGAAGGTAACGACTGATTTTGTTGTTGCTGTTGGTGGTGGTGTTGTGGTTGTTGTTGTTGTAATGATTGTTGTCCAATTGTTTGCTGTGATTGATGTGTTTGAAGTGGTTGATTACGTTGATCATTTAAAGTTGTTAAAATATTATAAGTTAAATTAGGTAATAATGCTTGAATTGTTCCAGATGGTGCAAGATTTATAAGATTTGGAATGGTTGTATTTAAATAATTACCAACTGATGTTAATGTCCCTGTAGAATTTATATAGGCTGTAGGTGAATTATAAGTAAAATTTAAAGGACATGAATGTTGAAGATTTACATCAGACTGAATACCAAGTTGTGGAAATCTAGTCATTGTTGTAGAATGACCTAATTATTGAAATAGAATGAAAGAGATCATAGTTCAATGAGATTGTTTAAAACATGTTGAAGTTTCAAAATGAAATAGGCATTAACTTTAATTAAGCAACTGATGATCATGAATTACCAAAACTTGGATTCATGGTATTGATGTGCGTAATAATCGTGTATATGTACAATAATATTGAATGCTTTTATTAGCCGTAAGTATTGTGGAAGTATCTGTGTTATCCTGTACACTGCCAATGTTATAAATATAAATTCTCGGAGTTCTAGTGAGAAGCCGTGACTAATGCAGCTAACACGCGTCAGGTAGAGACAGGTATCTACCTCAGTACAATGGAAAATGGTCATGCAATTTCATGAATTGGTTGAAGTTACACATGAACACCGTAGGATACCGGTTCAATGGTCTAGAGGTTAGGCGTTCGCGCGAGAGACCGATAGGTCCTGAGTTCGAATCCCGCGAGTGAGATTGTGGACGCACTGATGAAGAGTTCCACAATAAGACGAAATGGCTGTCCAGTGCTCCCAGGCTTTTAATGGTGGTCTAACATCGATCAGTTCATGATCTCAATTAAAAATTATTAAGCTTACTGAAAATAGATATCAGTAGTTCATATCACATATTCTAATTGTTATTTGAGTTAACAACTGTTTGCAAGAAACCTTCACAGCCATCCATGTTAAAGTTGAATGTATCTTATGAAATTGATTTTATTTGTGATTAGATTTTAGACTGTAGGTTAAGGATACGACTGGCAAAAAAATACATTAAATGTCTCTCAATATGTAAATGAATCATTCTGACCTTTTGTAAATGACCTTTCTAATTTACATTGATATACTTTATAAGAATCAGATGATCCAGTTCACCATTTTTTAAAACATAAAACATTTAATAATTGAATTCATGATTCGATTAAAGGCATACCACCATGGAAAACCTGGAAGCACTGGATAGTCGTTTTGTCCTAGTATAGGACTGCTCAGTTGTGTTTATCCACGATCCCTCACGTGAACCTCATGCACAGGATCTTCGGTCTTACTAATGCTTAACCTGTGAGTTGCTGAACCGGCATCCAAAGGTGTTAATGTCTAACATCAACCAATCCATGATAATACGCGACCGTCCACCATTGTCTTCAGTGAATAGCTGATAATAATCATCATCATGTGCTCACTAGTAACTAGCTTCAAGATGTGCTTCCTGGAGTTCTAGTGAGAAGCCATGACCAGTGGATTCCAACCACGAATTCGTTGAAGTTAGGCATTAACACCGTCGGATGTTTGCTCAGTGATCTAGAGATAAAGCATTCGAGCGAAGATACTGGGTTCGAGTCTCACTTGCGGGATTGTGGATGCTCACTACTGAGCAGTCCCATACTAGAACAAAACGGCTTCCAGGTTATCCATGGTGGTCTAGCTCATGAATTCAACTATTAAATGACTAAAATCTTCACAAACCTACATTCTGACACAAAACGTGGTTTAATGCATTAGCATAACTAACCATTTGGTAGTACAGCTGCAGATGGGAATTCAATAGGATTTGAATGATGAAGATTTTGATGATGTATACCTGAGGATTCCATTGTTAGATTTGATGTAGTTAAAGGTTGTCCAACATAATTGTTAGATGTTAATGGAAATGATTGAAACTGATTGAATGGCATCACTGATTATTAAGAAAAATTAATAAATAAATAAAAGGCTTTAGCTTTCAAAATTGTAGTTTAATGGCTATAATGAGTAATTGTTTAATTAAAATATTACATGAGCTACTTACTTACTTAAGCCTGTTATCCCTAAAAGAGGAGTATATTACCGCTTACGAGCAGTCTTCATTGGACTCTGTTCAAAGCAACCCTTTTCCAAGTGTTCCGAGTTACTATTCATACTTCCGACATCTGCTTCCTATTCACAGCACAGTGTGTTCTCTAGCCTTCTACTTTTCCGTTTCCCTTCATCATTCTATGTTAGTGCTTGCTTCATGATGATATTTAGTGATTTCTGTAATTTATGTCCTATCCGCTTCCAACGTCTTTTCCTAATTTTATCGTCAGTTGGAACCTGGTTTGTTCTTTCCCAATAGTAGGCTGTTGCTGCTGCTATCCAATCAGTGGACATTAAGTATCTTAAGTAGACAATTGTTTACTTCTTTGATGATGGTTGTACTAGTTCTCCAAGTTTCAGCTCCATACAGTAGAACTGTCTTGAGGTTCGCATTAAAGATTCTGACTTTGATATGGATTGACAGTTGTTTTGAGTTCCATATGTTCTTCAATTCTGGGAATGCTGTCTTTGACTTGCCAATCCTCACATTCACGTCTGCATCAGATCCTCGTTGTTTATCGATGATATTTCCTAGGTATGTGAAAGTTTTCACATCTTTAAGAACTTCTCCATCACATGTGATTGGTTTGGTTGGTGTTCTCTGTGTTGTATTTCTCATTTTCCTTTGTTTATATTGAGGTCTACTGATGCTTCACTGGTTTTCGTCATCTGCATTTGTTCGTATGTATAGAATAGAAGAGCTAGGTGATCTGCGAAATCCAATTGGTCTAGTTACATCCAACCTGTTCATTATAATCCGTGCTTATTACATTACATTATAGTAAATCAACCGTAGGAGTAACATTACAATTAAAAATACGATAAGAGACTAATATATCGAATTCATATCTCCAACTACCTATCTACATTGCTTTCAGTAGCTAATTATTATCACTAAACTTCATAACATCAATGGATATTGTTCTAATCTTAGAACATGAACTTGTTCATAGTGAATATGTTACATTATTCTTTATATTATTCAAAATATTATAAAACATTTTAATGACACAATATGTGGAAGTTGAAGAATGCTGGTCAGCAGCCTATACTCCATTGGGAGTAACAGGCGTAAGTAAGCAAGTAAGTAAGTAAGGGAGGGAGGGAGGGAGTGAGTAAATAAGTAATTAAGCACATGGAAATTGTACAATCTTTAGTTTCATTAGTATAAAAAGATAATGAAATAAACATGACCATACATTTATCTGTCAGGACATTTTACTTTAAAAGGTCAATTATCCACATGAGATAGTAGGGTAATGGTATAGTTACTAAATTGTCATTAAACTATCATTGATATATTAGAAATGAAATTTTATCAGGTCAACTTAAAATTTACATAAATCAGGCTTGAATTCTTTAATGGTCAATGTTTTTATAAACCTAATGAATTTACTGATGAAAATTTTCATATAAAGTTCCCCTCTCTCATTCTTTGTCTCTCTCAAAGAAAAACAAACATTTCCAGGTCAATATTTGGATTTGTTTCAGAAATGTTTTCTAATATATACATATATCAATAGTTGAGATCATGAATCAATTGAGGGTAGATCACCATGGAAAAACTGGAAGCATTGGACGGCCGTTTTGTCCTATTGTGGGAACCTTTAGCAGTGCGCATCCACGACCCCAGGACCTATCAGTCTCGCGCGCAGTGACTAGTGGAGTTTAACCGGGTATGCTGTGAGATAATAACATACTAAGGAAAATGTTGGATGTGTCGCTCAATTTCTTGGATTAGTTAAAGTTAGACAATAACACCGTTGGATACCGGTCGGCTCAGCGGTCTAGAAGTTAAGTGTTCGCGCATGAGACCGATAGGTCCTTGGTTCGAATCTCTCGAGGTGGGATCGTGCTTCCAGGTTTTCCATGGTTGGTTAGCTTCAATCGATTCATGATCTCAACCATTAAAATTAATATAATGTCTACAAAATCCCTTTTGATACACATATATGATTAAAGTGTATGAAATATAATTGGTTCACACATACCACATTTTCCTATAATCTCCATCTTCTTAACATATAGAGGCTAAGCGTTCACGAGTGAAACCGAAAGTCCTGGGTTCGGACCCTGAGTGTGGGATCATGGGTGCGACTACTGAGGAGTCCATACTAGGAAGAAACGGTACTTCCAGGTTTTTAATGGTGATCTAAATCAGTCAATTCATGATCTCAACCAAATCCGTCAGCGGGTATCAGTTCCCTTAAGATTACAGGTACCCCTTGTTGACAACTGTCAAGTAGCACAAAACTCGGGTCTAGGGTTTCCTGTTGACTACCTCCAACCACCATCTTATCTCAACATAGTGCACACAGTGTCGAGTCTAGTCGAGACTAGTGGTCACATTGCATCTCGATCGATAGCATTCAATCTACACTAAGAAGGACTTGACACACATGAGATTGATCACCACCCAGTGATCAGTCAATTGAAAAAGCACTTTATTAACCACCTGAACATTTAGACTTTGTATCTTTCCTCACTTTCGAGTCATCATCAATCCTCAACCTCATAAACCTGGATCGAAAACAGAAGGTTCGGTGCATGAAATGGGTTATAATTCTAAGATTATTTCCTTGCAGAAAACAAAGATATTTAAGAATTATATCTCTTCTTGAGTTCATAGAAAATGATAACAAACTTTATAATTTTCCAACAGCATATAGAAACATAATCTGTCGTTTTCTAGTATTTTCTTTAGTTTCAAAATAACTCTGATTATTTGAAACATATTTGTTTATAAGAATAAGGGTTTCTGGAGTAATTTTATTAGTTGAATTCATGAGCCATGACCGGTGGAGTTTAATCTGTGTCATGTAGAGCGGGTATCTACCTCAGATAATGGATGAAGGGTTGTTCAAGATCATGGATCGATTGAAGTCAGTCATTAATATCGTTGGATGACAGCTCAATGGTCTACAGGTTAGGCGTTCGCCCGAGAGATATAAAGTCCTAAGTTCGAATCCCGAGAGCAGGACCAAAAATGCAAACTACTGAGGAGTCCCACACTAGAATGAAACTGCCATTAAGTGCTTGTAGGTTTCCACTGATGGTCTAACTTAGATCAACTATGGAAACATTTTTTTAAACATCTTCCTGCAATGTATTACATCACTAATTTATAATCATCTGACTAAATATTCCATCATTTCATTTCATTATGTTTAACAAATACAATAATTTATCATTCTTTATAGTAAATAAATGTAATAACTGAAGTTATTCGATATAAATAAGTCATACTTTAACTTACATGATGCATAAGCAAGTGATACAAATGCAGATCCTGAGTTCTGTAAATTTTGATTTATATTCTGATAGTGTTGTTGCTGTTGATGTTGTTGTTGTCTTGATGCAAGAGCAGCTGCAGCTATAGTAGCCGCAGCTGTAGCTGCCGAATCAACTTCATTTGGTAAAGCTAAATAGATAAAGAAAATTGATAATAATAATAATAATAATAATAATAATAATAATCAAACAATCATTGGAATAGAAATTGCAAGCATTTTATGGAGATTATTGAATAGACCGTAGTTGGAAATTCTTTGATGATCAGAAAACATCGGACATTTGCTTCGTATTAGTACTGGAGTTCATAGGAGTGTAAAATCTACGACTCAATCACTGGGGATAGGAACATAGAACCAGAAAATGGCCGAAAATACTTTATCTGTGATTATCACATTATCTTAACTTCGCTCCTAATAGAATGATTTATTACAATTGTATACCTATAAATGGTAATATATAGGAGGTGATCTTATTTGGGATGCTGTTGGAAGATAAGAAGCAGAGGGCAGTCATTTCCACGTGAATTTCTTTGGTTCGATTCCTTCCGGAGTTATGCGTGATTACTGAAACGATCAGGTACTAGCTGATTATGTTTATGACTATGAATGTACATGAAATGGGTTTTAATCTTTGGAAGAGAATCAGTTTTTATAAAGGTTGAATACATAGTTTGCTAACGATTGCCAAATCTTAAAGTAACTCAGATTTGTCATTTTCTAATGACTGTTCTCAAGTATTAAACAACTGAATCTAATGTATTTACTTGATGTTGTTAACTTGTATATTCCAAGCGAACGGTACTGGGTTCGAGTCCCAGAGTAAACATCAAGTCTGAGATGCAAAACCATCCAGTTGACGAGTCTCAAACAGGATGAAACGCGTGTCGTGGATTCCACTGCTAGCCATTATCCGTCATTGCCAACTGAATCCAACACTTTGACAATTATTAGGTAATAAATTTTGTTTGTAATTTTAATTATTAATTGCTTTTTACTATGGATTAAAAGGTGTTATATTAAATATGGTTATCGTTAAGTTACATAGTCCATAGGTGTCACTGTTATTAAATAACAGTTGCTCAGGAAAAGACCTAACTCCACCTGGAGCCCCTCTTGGTCTAATGCCGGTCCTAAGTCCGGATAAAGGAGGAGCGTTGGGCATGAGTTAGCGACCCCATCCTGCACAAACCTAACTCGGAAAAAACGCTGACCAGAAAAAAGCAATTCAAACCATTCAAACTCTGTCCTGTGAGTTGGAATGTTTTCATTTAGGAGAGTTATGACGCCTCATGGTGAAAGCTGAGTTCTTTCGGAAGTCACGAGGCTGATGCCCCTTCTAACAACTAAAGCAGCCATTAATTTGGATACATAGAATGCTCGTACAATGTTTAAGACTGGTAGAATTTTCCGAACTGCTGCAGAAATGAAGAGAAAAGCACCTAAACATTCTACAAACAACTGGGAAAGACTGCTCAGGACAGAGTTGAATAGAGAGTACTAGTGTGTGGCCTATGCTCCTCCATGAGGTGAAAGACTTCAATTCTTTGTATTACAAAGTTCAGTATTAAGTTGGTTTGCATTTAGAATTAGAGAATTGATTGTCATTAGCTTTTATGTAAATAATTGACTTCCACTCTGAAGTATATTAAGTGGAATTTTTTTAAGGAAAAAAATAGAGAAAAAAAGGGATTTAAGAATAATGGTTTGAAGTTCTTCCTGGAAATGAACTTCCATTCATTTTTAACTTTATGGTGATTTATTCTATGTATGAAAATCTTTTGTAAACTATGAATTAGGTACTATTGTGGTGTGTGTTACTGATATCGGTAGATATATAAGTAGTATGTATGATCAATCGAAAGTGAAATATCTGGAGAAGGAGATGGTTATGAAGATCAAAGAAATGAGAATAAGAACAAAGAATGATTAGTGTGGGAACGAAAGAACAATGAACTCAGAGACATTTGATTGACATTTTGCAAATGAATTATTTACTGTATGGTTCTGAGATTTTACTATGAGATTAGGTAATTTTGTATTCAAATACATTCTATTGGTTCTCATTTATGTGGTCGATCATCATAGTATGACTTACCAAATGCATTAGGTAATAAACTTCGTTGTTTCACTAAAGCATTACTTGAACTCAGTACTTCTTTTGGTAGAGCTCGTTTTGCTTCCACCTACAATGTTAATAAAACAAATTTAAACAAAATGTATTTATTATCAAAAAACGTTTTGTGTATACTATATTGATTTCAATGGTTGTGATCATGAATCATTTGAAGCTAGACAACGATTGAAAACCTGGAAACACTGAACAACCGTTTCGTCTCATTATGGCACTCCTCAGAAGAGCGCATCCACGATCCCACTTCGAGAGATTCGAACCGCAAACGCTTAACCTGTAGACCACTGAGCCGGCTGGTATTCAACGATGTTAGTGTTTAACTTCAACTAATCCACGAAAATGAGCGACATATCCAACATTTTCCTTAGTAAGTTATTATCTCACAACAGACCCTGTTGAACTCCACTGGTCACTGATTCTCAGTGTAATTAAGTTGGTGTTTATAACAAATTATGTTCATATTCATAATGTGGTGATTAGTACTGAAAAAAAAGTGCAATTTACATTACTGATTTCTCTTTAAGAAAAAGTACTTTCACCAACAATATTGCGTTAAATTAAGTAATTCGATAAAGTATTAAAATATCAAACGATTCTATGAATCTTTCATTGTAATGTTTGAAAACAATATTACGTACTTACTCACTTACTTACTTACTTCAACACTTATCTACTTACTTACTTACTCACTTGCTTACTTACTTACTTCAACACTTATCTACTTACTTACTTACTCACTTGCTTACTTACTTACTTCAACACTTATCTACTTACTTACTTACTTACTTACTTGCTTACCTACTTGCTTACTTACTTACTTACTTACTTCAACACTTATCTACTTACTTACTTACTCACTTGCTTACTTACTTACTTACTTCAACACTTATCTACTTACTTACTTACTCACTTGCTTACTTACTTGCTTACTTACTTGCTTACTTACTTACTTACTTCAACACTTATCTACTTACTTACTTACTCACTTGCTTACTTACTTGCTTACTTACTTACTTCAACACTTATCTACTTACTTACTTACTTACTTACTTACTTACAGCTGTTACTCCCAATTGAGCATCGGCGGTTGAGTTTAAGTGATCTTATTCATAGTCATTTATAGTGTAACATAGATGCATGGATATTAATCTTTCCCAATAATGAAAGTTATAATATACAGTGATTTATATATAAATGTTAAATTCTACTGTCGATGTACACTTCTCCCGTTATATCACTCATATATCTGATATAGAAAGTTTAGTTAATCGAAATTCAATCTAAGCTACATTATTATTTAGAATAAGAACTATTCAGTTATAGTAATTATAAATCAATTGTTAAATCAATAAATCAATAAACATTACAATACAATCGATAAGGATATAAAAAATTTCTGTTTATCATTGATTATGAAAGAAGGATTCACTTTTATTGATTTTTATTCGTTTCAGGAAACAGTGAATGATTTCCGTTTTTGTTGTTGTTTGGTGTTTCGGTAATTTATGAATTTCAATAATACTAAGTGTATTCAATGTCATAAAATTCAATGCCTCATTTATATTGTGAAATCATTAAACAAAATCTCTGTAGTATCCAAGACTTTTGGTATTAAGCATGAATGCTTTTTACTTCTAGATTTGTAAGGTATTTGGATATTGATTAAGTAATTTAGAGGTTTGACTTTGGTAAATGGGACTTGAGATTTAATGTTCGATTCCCGGTTAAAGAGTTGTGAATAACTACTGATGAAGTGTCAGAAATGAGGACGAAACGGATTTCAAATTTGTCTGAGTTTTTAATAGTTGCTTAAACTAGTACTGTACATGATGTTAAACCATATACTTAATTAATATCTAGAAACTGTGAAGAATTGAATCTCAAATCATTGCTATAAATGCTACAAATGGTCTCATGACCAAGATTTGTTATTGTCTTATATCAAGACAAAATAATTGTCTAGTAATCCTTTAGTGTTATTGGTTATTTAGTCAAATTTACAGTATGGTGTTAACCAGAGATTAGAACTGGTTATGTTAATCAGTCAGTCAGCTAAAACGTAGGACCAAGAGCATACATGCATCAGTTCAAGTTGCCACACCTCATTAGAACAACAAGATAAACACGAAATTCATAGAAGTAGTTAATTCAGTGGTGGTAATATATAAAAGAAAGATTGTATATGAGGATATACTACAGGAAGAAAGAATTAGTTCATCGAGAGAAAGATATTAAATGATTTTGATCTCATAGTTTAAGGGAAGATAGAGAGTGTATACACGGACGCCATTGTGGTCGATTCTTAGCCATATCACCCACAGTCTCTAACCATTAGTTACGATAGTCACGCGAACTCTAACCAAGTAGTCTGCATGTACCAACCCGACCGTTGTTGCTACCTTGATGTGGTAATCGGGATTGCCTATCGTGATGAACCGATTGAGCTATGCTGGCTACAACAATTTTTCCTCAAGTTCCTACCATACTAGGCAGGTCGGTTGAAGAACGGTAAGACTAAAAGCAGCAAACTTAAGGTTCAAACGTGAAGTCATACTGCTGTATGTACAGAGATGTGACGGCAGTAAGGTGTTTCCCCCAAACAACTAGCATAGTAACGATGCTGCCTTTCCACAAGGAAAGGTCTGGTTAGAAAAGTTCGACCCTTAAAAATGCACACTTTGCCTTATCCCACAGATATCCATCTCCGGCGGTATGGTCTCAGCAAGTACGGAGCTAACACGAAAATCACTCATAAAAGGTCGTGTGTGATCGACCTTAAGCAGTTGTCCCTTTAGTAATGCGGTTACGCTCTTAAGACCACATCCAATACAACTTACTTTTCAGATACATCCAGGACAACCTTTCCGCGGTGTTGGAAACCGGGAATTGATAACCGCTTTCATTCCTCTAACAGCACTCAACATCACTGTACTTATAATCATGTTAATCAGTACAACACAACTTTTACATCTATCGTATTTTGATGTGGAATTTTCGTGAAAGCACACATTTATGTAAAGGAAAAAAGAAATGAACAACACAGAGTTTGGAATATATTAGGAATAAACAGGAAAGTGTAGATGAAGTCTTGAAGAAATTGATATTGTAGGTAGAGTTCGAACCACTAATCCACAGATTGAGAATTTACCACTGAACATTTAGAAGGATGCATTAAGATCGATTAAATGAATGATGGTATGTTTTAAACTCAAACTGAAGCTAATCAAATTCAGACCTGCGCTAAACAAGTGATGTCTTTAAGATGACCAATATTAGTGATATCAATATCCTTAAGAGTGAAGCTTCACCTTTTTGACAAATTTTAACGAATATGAAATTTAGGTCAAGTGCTTACTATAGACTACTACTAACTACTTATAAACTGTATTTCATAAATAAACTAGTCATTTATTCAACATATCAAATTATTCAAAAACACTGACTAAATATTTATTATTTAGCATATATTCAGTTAAACAACACAGTTGGCCATAAATAGGCATCCCAAATTTTTTAAATATTCAGACTAATAACTCTTCTAATCGAATGCTAAATTCGGTTTCTTAAGCCCTTCTAGTAACCCCTAGGCTAAATCTATGAAGTAATTTGAACACAAGAGTGACCTTTTACTCTAAAGGTTCGTTTTTATAGTATTTTAGATGACATTGGGTTTCCGGAAAATTCTGGAATGCTGCTAAACATAATAGCAGTATAAGTAATCAACCAATCCGAAACACGACATGTGACTTGACACTTTCGCGATGACTAGTATAGGGGTTGTGGAGATTATTACGTTTTTGATTGAGATCATGAACTGATTGATGTTAGACCACCTTTGGAAACCTGGAAGCACTGGACGGCCGTTTCGTCCTATTGTGGTCCTAGGTTCGAATCCCGCGAGCGTGATCGTGGATGCGCACTTCTGAGGAGTCCCATACTAGGACGAAACCGCCGTCCAGTGCTTCCAGGTTTTCAATGGTGGTCTAGCTTCAACTGACTCATGATTTCAACTTATGATATTGAAGATATATTTATTTTCAATAGTTGAAATCATGAATCGATTGAAGCTAGACCACCATGGAAAATCTAGAAGCACTGGATGGTCGCTTCGTCCTATTGTGGGACTCCTCAACAGTGCTCATCCACGATTTTGCCTAATGAGATTAGAACCCAGGACCTATCGGTTTAGTGTAGGGTTGTGGAGGTTATTGCATTTCATTGAAATCATGAACTGATTTAAGTTAGAACACCACTGGACACAGAGGGTCCACGTAGGGGAGTTGGTAAATCCTGACTCCAAATCAGTGGTGCACCTGAGCACATGGTACCCATGGTCACCGGGTACCATGGGACTGCATTTCCTGCCGTTGCCCTACTTCTTTGTGTATCAGACATTTAAGTCGAAGGCTCCGGGTGTGGCCTCCTAAGAAAACCACCTGGTTCGGTTTGGGCACTCGGACAGTATCCCAGCCCTCACACAAATCAGATGATATATATGGAGCATATCTATTTGGTGTCTCTTTGTACCAATAATTACTTGTTCAGATAAATAAAGAAATTAAATCATTTCATGATATCAGTGAAATACAATGAACTCAACAACACCATACTGACAATTATCCTGTGTATTTTTTATAAGGGGAGGGGGCTTTGTTAGTTGGTTTAGTAACCCCATTCTCACAATCTTGAGGGTACATGTTTTCACGAACATGTTAAGATCAAACTGTCTGAATACGATATGAGTATAATTTGTTTTAAAAGAAATCTACTATTGTACTTAAATACCATACCGTAATGATCAGATGGATGGACTAAGTAGAAATGTACCCAATTCTTAACTAACAACAAATATGACTTAACTTTCATTATACATAAATTTTTCTTAACTAGTACTCTGTAACCAATACTTGTGTAACTATGCAAGAATACAAACATTTCAATCATTTTCAAAGGATATATCATAAAGAGTTAAGGGTACATTTAAAACTGTAACACAGTTGGAAAACGTATTTGAAACAAGCATAGATAAATGGATAAATTAAAATTTAAGTC